TTATGGCCATATTTATTGAATAATTAAATATTGAAAACATAAACAAGAAATAATTATCGAATATTTGTTTACAGTTAATTTTTCTAATACTATGATGTGAGAAATTGAATATGAAAATTAATTCAGAGTGATAAATAGAACATGAACAGTTTTTATAAAAGTAATTTGTAATACAAGTGATTCATAAATAATTTAAGACACATTATTGTAATTTTTAAGTGGAAGCCCTTTATTAGGGTTCTACTTTTTGTTATATTGTGTATTAGTGATTTATAACAAACAACATTTTATGTAAAATGCTAGTATTGTAATATATTTTGGGCTCACTATGGTGGAACGCGTTGAGGGCTTCCTCATCTATCGGAAACCAGCTTACCGAGCATTTCAATATCTGGAAACGTAAGTCATTACATAAAATTACATGCTTATCTTATTTGTAACCATAATATACATATAATAATTAAAATTAAGTTTTCTTATTCATTTGTAATTTAAATTAACAAAATAATTTTAGACATAATTTAGTACACTAGTTAAACCACTGGGTTCTGCTTTTAAAATTGTATGTTATTTATCAAATTAATTACTTAATGTTTTTCTATATAGACAGATTGTAATCATAAGAAACTAAAAAAAATGTTATTTGTTGAACGACCCTAAGAATCTAACAAGTTAAGTTTATATAATGCATCATGAAATAAATGTAACAATTTTTTTAGACTGCATGTGTTACAATTTAGATACCGATACTGTAATATAATACTTTAAGTATATACATTCTTCATTGTTGCGTTTGCTATTATTTATACTCGTATGTATTGCTGCGAATGCCTTAGATTTCTAGCCGAATAGGCTTACTTGCTATTAATTGGTTGCGTTCCGAGTTTATTGGCAATAAATCGCAATTTTATTAGCCAGAGTGTACTTTTCTATACTCACATTTCAATTTCATATCTATATTTGTTTACAGACACATCATTCAGCAGTCGATCAAAAAAACATACCAATATTAATTCAAATTCTTAATTTTTTTTTTCTTTATAAAATTCTGTATTACTACAATTATTATAAATTGCTTAACCACTCGCGAGTTGCGAGATTTAGATGAATTTTGCCGCTGGAGCGGCGGCATCCGAGTGGAAAGAGTTAAGACATAAGTTTATGAACTGTATATTTTACCGCATTTTGTAGTTTTAGTTCAGTGATTTCACATATTTATGAAATAAAACCAAAGTGAACTACTTGTAAGTGGTATTTTGCCTTAAGGCAAGTTGCATAAACTTTCCGAAATGTGTAAATAATCGACTTAATAAATAATAAATAATAATAACAAAAAATAGTAAATCAATATATTAATTCATGAGTGATTCATAATAATTCCGAGTTGATTTATTACACATATTGACGTCTTTAATAAAACTCGGGGTATTTTCTAAAAGCGCAACCATACACCAAATTGAACCCACTTTCCGTAAGACTATAACGTTTTAGTATGTTCATTAAGACCATGTACTTACTCTATCGCCATTGCCATTAAAATCATCGGTATTTTTTTTCAACAATCAAATACGAAGAAATGGCTTAGCCGATCTTTGTCCAAAACGTATTAGCTAGCACGATTGACAGGGTTTTTGGCTTAAACACGACCGAAAAATGTTTGTGAGAAACGAATAGCTTTGAATTTTTTTAAATCGGTTCAGCCGTTTTCGAGAAATCGTCGACGAAGGGTCAAAAATCAGCTACATACATCCATACATACATACGCTTACATATACTTCTTCCAAATATGGTCTCATTCGATTCAGAATGACTTGAAACGTCGAGAAAACATCAAATTTGCGAATCGGATTTTGTCGCGAAAACATAAACTTCTTCTTCGTGAAGTTAATAATTAAAAGTTCATTTGACATCTGGAATTTCCAGACTATCTAAGATAAAGAATAAAGTTCTATTTATTCATAACATGATTGCTTTTGAAATGAACACGAACTTTAGTAATTAATTATTGAGTTCATTTATAAATTCATGAATTTTTTACCGACTCTTCTGTCTACTTTTGCGGCATCATATTTATATAATTACATAAAAAACACTACTATTTATGCATATTAAATTTTTACATTCGCACGCGTCGTGTAACCGTTACACGCGTCGTCTTTCGCGAGCTCTGAGACCTAGGTGACATTTGACACGGTTTGAAATATAATTTAATCGAATCTTGATTGATTTCATCCGGTGTTTATATGATTTGCATACATATCGGCATTGAAGTGCTAAAATTCATTCTGACTAGACCTCATTTATCGCACATCACTTAACAGCTTACAAGAATTATGGTGTATTTTATCAAATATAATTAATTAGAAATTATAGTGTATAATTAAGAATTCAAATGTTAAAATATACGGTTAGCTTGGTTTTGATTTTACTAATGATAGTATTATGAATATAGAGACATACCATTAAAGCTTTCTTCGGTATTCATGCATCTATCATTGTCAAAGGTTGTAATTTTTTCTGGATCCTCTTCACTTCATATTCTTGTTAATTGATTTTTTTATATTTTCTACTTATTTTATTTAACTCTTATTACTTATAATTAGAAGTATAATTGAAATAATTTGCTTAGAGCTGATAATCAGTGCTGCCTTAAGTTAGAAGTGGCGCTCACATCGAACGCTTGTGTCGTCCGAGTCGAGCTTATGAGGTATATTCGTCAATCACAGAATAAATTTTCGAGAGGAGTTGGATAAAAATATTGGTTTATTTTACAAAATTAAATAAACTTTTACTTACAACATTTTACTTCTTTGTTACGTAAGCATACACACCCCATTTACAAGAATTTCATTGTTAGTTTATTTGAAACATAGGGCATTATTGTTTTTTAAAACTCAATTAGTGTGTATATATAATTAATAGCGTACATTAATTCAAGATGAGCAAATAGCAGAGTAATTTTTCTATTATTGAAATAAATTAATATACTTATATTATAATTTATTAATTGCGTTCGATTTAATTTATTTATATTTATTTTTCATTCAATGTGTTTCAAAACTGATAAAAGGCTTTCTATAGTGATTATGTATAGCACGGTTTTTCCATATAATGATGAATTTTTGAATTACAAGGATTTTTTGTAACCTATCTTCTGCCTGAATTTAATGCATTACGTATTAAACGAAAAAAATGTAGGAATGTAATTTTCAAAAAGAACAGTAGAAAATGTTATTTAAATAGCTAAATCTTAATTATTATTGATTAGGTGTAGTATTTCGACATTTCGAAATTTATACTGTTTAAGCTTTAGGTGTAATGCCACTCAACCACTATTTTATACAATTATAGCCTAAAAATAATAATCTTAACATCTTGACAACTTCAAAAATTTCAATTTAAATGCAAATGGTATTTATATTGAAATAAAGGTATAAACTGATATTTCAATCACAGTTAAAGCCCTTGAGCGTTATACACTTTTATAATTGGAATGTATTTTTAATTTTAAAATTTACGTATATGGTTCAAAAAAATGTCCTCGACATTTTTGACAGTATGAAATAACCGATTTGAATAATTCAAAAAAAAACATTCGATTCGTATTGATAATGAGGCGTGCTGATTAGTTTTTGGCGAAGGCAGGTCTAGCCGTTCCGAAGATACGGGGCAAAAAGTGCCAAAATCGGTAACTCAGTTTGTAGAGAACGGAGCGTCGATTTTAATAATTCGAAATACATTTTACTTGTATTGAAGGATGAAGAATTGATTAAATTTTTGGTAAGGCAGTTCCAGCGGTTATGGACTCTCAATAAAAATAAGTTGAAAAATGTCATTTGGCAGTCAAAAATGTTTATTGGACATATTGTACATCAAATTATCAGATATTTTATAGAGATTTTAATAATGTGTACACATTTTTGTGTATTTTTTCTGGATTTCGTACCAAGTTTTTAATTAAGGTACGGGAGGTTCCAGCAATTTGGCTTAAGGCACGATGTTATGCACCCCACTAGTATATATTGTGAGTGATTGAAATATACGGTTAATTAATTGACATGAATTAATCTAGTATGAAGTGTTTGCCTGTTGGTTTTGCCTACACAAGAAATGTATAACATTTAATGTAGCATTCAGCTCGGTTTCAATGTGCAACACAATCGATTTTGACTGCAATATCACATCATGCTTGAAGAAAAATATTTAGTAATTTCAATATGCGCGACAGCTCTTCGGTTATTTATATGCGGATATAGTTGCATATAAGGCTTATGAGTCGTTAAATAAGCTCCGTGTGCATCCTTTATGATTTACTACTCAAAGTGTTTACGTTGACGAATAATGCGTTTTGGAAACTCGTAATATACAATACACAATACATACTATATGGTCTGAGATTAAATGACGATAAAATAGATTGAATTCCATAACGCACACATTAAATGCATTGTAATGTATTATTAACTGTGAATGTATAGATTTTATAGATTTTCTTCCCCTGAAAGGTTGTTTCCCAGTCATAGCATAGGTGGTTAAACCCTCTTTTATAGGTAGTAAATACAAAGTTTAATAAAATAGAACAATTTTAAGGAATTATCATAATTCATATTTGAAAAACTGAAAAATATAATAATTAGAATTTATAATAGTTTTTCGTCAATTAATGAATGTAAAATATCGAACTTTTAATAAATGAGTGCGCGTAATGTTCACGCGATTGAAGTGAAACTTATTTGCTACTGTATAAGATGGCATTTAAGTAAAATTAATACATTATAAACAGTTTTGTTTATTAGTTTTTGTTTATTAGTAATGTGGTAACACTCGTGATGCACACATTTATTAGTATCAACCATTATACACATTTATATAATTATAAATTATATATAAAAATATGTATAATATTTAAAAACAATAATGTAATTAAAATCATACTTCAAATATGACATGATCGGTTTGTCATTGTAATTAGCATTTAGAAATGAACCTTCATTAGAGAAATGAAGTAATTGCTGATTAATAAATTCTATAATATTTGTTCACACAGTGGATTATGTTAAACAACGCCTAAACAAATATTGTTTTCACTCATCATGTAATTGTGTTTGAAGAACTTCATGTAATTAAAATTAACATACATTATTGACTGCTTGTATTTTTTCCTTTTTCACTGGCGATTTCATTTATTGAACAGCTGTAATATCTGTCTTGCCTAAAAATATTTTTCATTTTAATAACTTCAAAGATTATAGAAACACGAATAATATAGAAATAATTCTAATCAATAAACTTACGTTTAGTCACGACACAAATGTTTAATTGTTTTATTATTTTCATGAAACAGGGTAAAAGATTCTTCTGATTCAGCATTTTCATTAAATCAAGATTTGTACTACGAT